ATCCCTCGAGGCGTAGGGAAAAGCATCCAACCATCCCAATATTGTTGCATATTCGGGTGGCCCATGTTCAAACACACATACCAGAGCAACTTCAGCTTGGTTCGCGCGCACAGAAAAGTTCGGCGCCCGCGACGACGGCCGTGCCTGCCCCTAAATGCTAAGGAAGCGCACGGATCCCTATAGGCGTAGGGAAAAGCATCCAGCGACCCGAATATTGTTGCATGTTCGGGTGGCCCATGTTCAAATACACCTACTAGAGCAACTTCAGCTTTATTCGCGCGCACAGAAAAGTTCGGCGCCCGCGACGACGGCCGTGCCTGCCCCCAAATGCTAAGGAAGCGCACGGATCCCTAGAGGCGTAGGGAAAAGCATCCAACGACCCAAATATTGTTGCATATTCGGGTGGCCCATGTTCAAATACACCTACCAGAGCAACTTCTGCTTGGTTCGCGCGCACAGAAAAGATCGGCGCCCGCGACGACGGCCGTGCCTGCCCCCAAATGCTAAGGAAGCGCACGGATCCCTATAGGCGTAGGGAAAAGCATCCAACGACCCGAATATTGTTGCATATTCGGGTGTCCCATGTTCAAATACACCTACCAGAGCAACTTCAGCTTGGTTCACGCGCACAGAAACGTTCGGCGCCCGCGACGACGGCCGTGCCTGCCCCCAAATGCTAAGGAAGCGCACAGATCCCTATAGGCGTAGGGAAAAGCAACCAAGGACCCGGATATTGTTGCATATTCAGGTGTCCCATGTTCAAATACACCTACCAGAGCAACTTCAGCTTGGTTCGCGCGCACAGAAAAGTTCGGCGCTCGCGACGACGGCCGTGCCTGCCCCCAAATGCTAAGGAAGCGAACGGATCCCTAGAGGCGTAGGGAAAAGCATCCAACGACCCAAATATTGTTGCATATTCGGGTGGCCCATGTTCAAATACACCTACCAGAGCAACTTCAGCTTGGTTCGCGAGAACATAATAGTTTGGCGCCCACGAAGACGGCCGTGCCTGCACACAAATGCTAAGGAGGCTCACGGATCCCTATAGGCGTAAGGAAAAGCGTCCAACGACCCAAATATTGTTGCATATTCAGGTGGCCCATGTTCAAATACACCTACCAGAGCAACTTCAGGTTGGTTCTCGCGCACAGAAAAATTCGGCGCCGCGACGACGGCCGTGCCTGCACATAAATGCTAAGGAAGCGCACGGATCCCTATAGGCGTAAGGAAAAGCATTCAACGACCCAAAGATTGTTGCATATTTGGGTGGCCCATGTTCAAATACACCTACCAGAGCAACTTCAGCTTGGTTCGCGCGCACAGAAAAGTTCGGCGCCCGCGACGACGGCCGTGCCTGCACACAAATGCTAAGGAAGCGCACGGATCCCTGTAGGCATAGAGAAAAGCATCCAACGACCCGAATATTGTTGCATATTTGAGTGGCCCATGTTCAAATCCACCTACCAGAGCAACTTTAGCTTGGTTCGCGCGCATAGAAAAGTTCGGTGTCCGCAACAACGGCCGTGCCTGCACACAAATGCTAAGTAAGCGCAGGGATCCCTATAGGCGTAGGGAAAAGCATCCAACGATCCGAATATTGTTGCATATTCGGGTGGCCCAGGTTCAAATACACCTACCAGAGCAACTTCAGCTTGGTTCGCGCGCACAGAAAAGTTTGGCGCCCGCGATGACGGCCGTGCCTGCACACAAATGCTAAGGAAGCGCACGGATCCCTATAGGCGTAGGGAAAAGCATCCAACGACCCGAATATTGTTGCATATTCGGGTGGTCCATATTCAAATACACCTACCAGAGCAACTTCAGCTTGGTTCGCGCGCACAGAAAAGTTCGGCGCCCGCGACGACGGCCGTGCCTGCACACAAATGCTAAGGAAGCGCACGGATCCCTATAGGCGTAGGGAGAAGCATCCAAAGACCCGAATATTGTTGCATATTCGGATGGCCCATGTTCAGACACACCTACCAGAGCAACTTCAGCTTGGTTCGTGCGCACAGAAAAGTTTGGCGCCCGCGACGTCGGTCGTGCCTGCCCACAAATGCTAAGGAAGCGCACGGATCCCTATAGGCGTAAGGAGAAGCATCCAAGGACCCGAATATTGTTGCATATTCGGATGGCCCATGTTCAGACACACCTACCAGACCAACTTCAGCTTGGTTCACGCGCACTGAAAAGTTCGGCGCCCGCGACGTTGGCCGTGCCTGCACACAAATAATAAGGAAGCGCACGGATCCCTATAGGCGTAGAGAAAAGCATCCAACGACCCCAATATTGTTGCATATTCGGGTGGCCCATGTTCAAATACACCTACCAGAGCAACTTCAGCTTGGTTCGCACGCACAGAAAAGTTCGGCGCCCGCGACGACGGCCGTGCCTGCACACAAATGCTAAGGAAGCGCACGGATCCCTATAGGCGTAGGGAAAAGCATCCAAGGACCCGAATATTGTTGCATATTCGGATGGCCCATGTTCAGACACACCTACCAGAGCAACTTCAGCTTGGTTCGTGCGCACAGTAAAGTTCGGCGCCCGCGACGACGGCCGTGCCTGCACACAAATGCGAAGGAAGCGCACGGATCCCTATAGGCGTAAGGAGAAGCATCCCAGGACCCGAATATTGTTGCATATTCGGATGGCCCATGTTCAGACACACCTACCAGAGCAACTTCAGCTTGGTTCGCGCGCACAGAAAAGTTTGGCGCCCGCGACGTTGACCGTGCCTGCACACAAATGCTAAGGAAGCGCACGGATCCCTATAGGCGTAGACAAAATCATCAAACGACCCGAATATTGTTGCATATTCAGATGGCCCATGTTCAAATACACCTACCAGAGCAACTTCAGCTTGGTTCGCGCGCACAGAAAAGTTCGGCGCCCGCGACGACGGCCGTGCCTGCCCCCAAATGCTAAGGAAGCGCACGGATCCCTATTGGCGTAGGGGAAAGCATCCAACGACCCCAATATTGTTGCATATTCAGATGGCCCATGTTCAAATACACCTACCAGAGGAACTTCAGCTTGATTCGCGCACACAGAAAAGTTCGGCGCCCGCGACGACGGCCGTGCCTGCCCCCAAATGCTAAGGAAGCGAACGGATCCCTAGAGGCGTAGGGAAAAGCATCCAACGACCCAAATATTGTTGCATATTCGGGTGGCCCATGTTCAAATACACCTACCAGAGCAACTTCAGCTTGGTTCGCGAGAACATAATAGTTCGGCGCCCACGAAGACGGCCGTGCCTGCACACAAATGCTAAGGAGGCTCACGGATCCCTATAGGCGTAAGGAAAAGCGTCCAACGACCCAAATAATGTTGCATATTCAGGTGGCCCATGTTCAAATACACCTACCAGAGCAACTTCAGGTTGGTTCTCGCGCACAGAAAAATTCGGCGCCGCGACGACGGCCGTGCCTGCACATAAATGCTAAGGAAGCGCACGGATCCCTATAGGCATAAGGAAAAGCATTCAACGACCCAAAGATTGTTGCATATTTGGGTGGCCCATGTTCAAATACACCTACCAGAGCAACTTCAGCTTGGTTCGCGCGCACAGAAAAGTTCGGCGCCCGCGACGACGGCCGTGCCTGCACACAAATGCTAAGGAAGCGCACGGATCCCTGTAGGCATAGGGAAAAGCATCCAACGACCCGAATATTGTTGCATATTTGAGTGGCCCATGTTCAAATACACCTACCAGAGCAACTTCAGCTTGGTTCGCGCGCACAGAAAAGTTCGGCGCCCGCGACGACGGCCGTGCCTGCCCCCAAATGCTAAGGAAGCGCACGGATCCCTATAGGCGTAGGGGAAAGCATCCAACGACCCGAATATTGTTGCATATTCGGGTGGCCCATGTTCAAATACACCTACCAGAGCAACTTTAGCTTGGTTCGCGCGCATAGAAAAGTTCGGCGTCCGCGACGACGGCCGTGCCTGCACACAAATGCTAAGTAAGCGCACGGATCCCTATAGGCGTAGGGAAAAGCATCCAACGATCCGAATATTGTTGCATATTCGGGTGGCCCATGTTCAAATACACCTACCAGAGCAACTTTAGCTTGGTTCGCGCGCATAGAAAAGTTCGGCGTCCGCGACGACGGCCGTGCCTGCACACAAATGCTAAGTAAGCGCACGGATCCCTATAGGCGTAGGGAAAAGCATCCAACGATCCGAATATTGTTGCATATTCGGATGGCCCATGTTCAAATACACCTACCAGAGCAACTTCAGCTTGGTTCGCGCGCACAGAAAAGTTTGGCGCCCGCGACGACGGCCGTTTCTGCACACAAATGCTAAGGAAGCGCACGGATCCCTATAGGCGTAGGGAAAAGCATCCAAGGACCCGAATATTGTTGCATATTCGGATGGCCCATGTTCAGACACACCTACCAGAGCAACTTCAGCTTGGTTCGTGCGCACAGAAACGTTCGGCACCCGCGACGACGGCCGTGCCCGCACACAAATGCTAAGGAAGTGCACGGATCCCTATAGGCGTAGAGAAAAGCATCCAACGACCCGAATATTGTTGCATATTCGGGTGGCCCATGTTCAAATACACCTACCAGAGCAAATTCAGCTTGGTTCGCGCGCACACAAAAGTTCGGCGCCCGCGACGACGGCCGTGCCTGCACACAAATGCTAAGGAAGCCCACGGATCCCGCTATAGGCGTAGGGAAAAGCATCCAACGACCCGAATATTGTTGCATATTCGGGTGGCCCATGTTCAAATACACCTACCAGAGCAACTTCAGCTTGGCTCGCGCGCACACAAAAGTTCGGCGCCCGCGACGACGACCGTGCCTGCACATAAATGCCAAGGAAGCGCACGGATCCCGCTATAGGCGTAGGGAAAAGCATCCAACGACCCGAATATTGTTGCATATTCGGGTGGCCCATGTTCAAAAACACCTACCAAAGCAACTTCAGCTTGGTTCGCGCGCACACAAAAGTTCGGCGCCCGCGACGATGGCCGTGCCTGCCCAGAAATGCTAAGGAAGCGCACGGATTTCTATAGGCGTAGGGAAAAGCATCCAACGACCTGAATATTGTTGCATATTCGGGTGGCCCATGTTCAAATACACCTACCAGAGCAACTTCAGCTTGGTTCGCGCGCACAGAAAAGTTCAGTGCCCGCGACGACGGCCGTGCCTGCCCACAAATGCTAAGGAAGCGCACGGATCCCTAGAGGCGTAGGGAAAAACATCCAGCGACCGGAATATTTGTGCATATTCGGGTGGCCCATGTTCAGATACACCTACCAGAGCAACTTCAACTTGGTTCGCGTGCACAGAAAAGTTCGGCGCCCGCGACGACGGCCATGCCATTCTCCCTCCTTCGATCACCCTGCCCCATTCTTCCGCTTTCCATCACCTCGCCCCATTCTCCCGCTTTCCATCACCCCGCCCCATTCTCCCGCTTTCCATCACCCCGCCCCATTCTCCCGCTTTCCATCACCCCGCCCCATTATCCCGCTTTCCATCACCCCGCCCCATTCTCCCGCTTTCCATCACCCCGCCCCATTCTCCCGCTTTCCATCACCTCGCCTCATTCTCCCGTTATCCATCACCCCGCCCCATTCTCCCGCTTTCCATCACCCCGCCCCATTCTCCCGCTTTCCATCACCCCGGCTCATTCTCCCGCTTTCCATCACCCCGCCCCATTCTCCCGCTTTCCATCACCCCGCCCCATTCTGCCGCTTTCCATCACCCCGCCCCATTCTCCCGCTTTCCATCACCCCTCCCCATTCTCCCGCTTTCCATCACCCCGCCGCATTCTCCCGCTTTCCATCACCCCGCCCCATTCTCCCGCTTTCCATCACCCCGCCCCATTCTCCCGCTTTCCATCACCCCGCCCCAGTCTCCCGCTTTCCATCACCCCGCCCCATTCTCCCGCATTCCATCACCCCGCCCCATTCTCCCGCTTTCCATCACCCCGCCCCATTCTCCCGCTTTCCATCACCCCGCCCCATTCTCCCGCTTTCCATCACCCCGCCCCATTCTCCCGCTTTCCATCACCCCGCCCCATTCTCCCGCTTTCCATCACCCCGCCCCATTCTCCCGCTTTCCATCACCCCGCCCCATTCTCCCGCTTTCCATCACCCCTCCCCATTCTCCCGCTTTCCATCACCCCGCCCCATTTTCCCGCTTTCCATCACCCCGCCCCATTCTCCCGCTTTCCATCAACCCGCCCCATTCTCCCGCTTTCCATCACCCCGCCCCATTCTCCCGCTTTCCATCACCCCGCCCCATTCTCCCGCTTAGGGCGGGGTGATGGAAAGCAGGAGAATGGGGCGGGGTGATGGAAAGCGGAAGAATGGGCCGGGGTGATGGAAAGCGGGAGAATGGGGCGGGGTGATAGAAAGCGGGAGAATGGGGCGGGGTGATGGATAACGGGAGAATGAGGCGGGGTGATGGAAAGCGGGAGAATGGGGCGGGGTGATGGAAAGCGGGAGAATGGGGCGGGGTGATGGAAAACGGGATAATGGGGCGGGGTGATGGAAAGCGGGAGAATGGGGCGTTGTGATAGAAAGCGGGAGAATGGGGCGGGGTGATGGAAAGCGGGAGAATGGGGCGGGGTGATCGAAGGAGGGATAATGGCATGGCCGTCCTCGCGGGCGCCGAACTTTTCTGTGCGCGCGAACCAAGCTGAAGTTGCTCTGGTAGGTGTATTTGAACATGGACCACCCGAATATGCAACAATATTCGGGTCGTTGGATGCTTTTCCCTACGCCTCTAGGGATCCGTGCGCTTTCTTAGCATTTGTGTGCAGGCACAGCCGTCGTCGCGGGCGCCGAACTTTTCTGTGCGCGCGAACCAAGTTGAAGTTGCTCTGGTAGGTGTATTTGAACATGGGCCACCCAAATATGCACAAATATTCGGGTCGCTGTATGTTTTTCCCTACGCCTCTAGGGATCCGTGCGCTTCCTTAGCATTTGTGTGCAGGCACGGCCGTCGTCGCGGACACCGAATTTTTCTGTTCGCGCGAACCAAGCTGAAGTTGCTCTGGTAGGTGTATTTGAACATGGGCCACCCAAATATGCAACAATCTTTGGGTCGTTGAATGCTTTTCCTTACGCCTATAGGGATCCGTGCGCTTCCTTAGCATTTGTGTGCAGGCACGGCCGTCGTCGCGGGCGCCGAACTTTTCTGTGCGCGAGAACCAACCTAAAGTTACTCTGGTAGGTGTATTTGAACATGGGCCACTCCAATATGCATCAATATTTGTGTCGCTGGACGCTTTTCCTTACGCCTATAGGGATCCGTGAGCTTCCTTAGCATTTGTGTGCAGGCACGGCCGTCGTCGCGGGCGCCGAACTATTCGGTTCTCGCGAACCAAGCTGAAGTTGCTCTGGTAGGTGTATTTGAATATGGGCCACCCAAATATGCAACAATCTTTGGGTCGTTGAATGCTTTTCCTTACGCCTATAGGGATCCGTGCGCTTCCTTAGCATTTGTGTGCAGGCACGATCGTCGTCGCGGGCGCCGAACTTTCCTGTGCGCGAGAACCAACCTGAAGTTGCTCTGGTAGGTGTATTTGAATATGGGCCACCCGAATATGCAACATTATTTGGGTCGTTGGACGCTTTTCCTTACGCCTATAGGGATCCGTGAGCTTCCTTAGCATTTTTGTGCAGGCACGGCCGTGGTCGCGGGCGCCGAACTATTATGTTCTCGCGAACCAAGCTGAAGTTGCTCTGGTAGGTGTATTTGAACATGGGCCACCCGAATATGCAACAATATTCGGGTCGTTGGATGCTTTTCCCTACGCCTCTAGGGATCCGTGCGCTTCCTTAGCATTTAGGGGCAGGCACGGCCGTCGTCGCGGGCGCCGAACTTTTCTGTGCGCGCGAATCAAGCTGAAGTTGCTCTGGTAGGTGTATTTGAACATGGGCCATCTAAATATGCAACAATATTGGGGTCGTTGGATGCTTTCCCCTACGCCTATAGGGATCCGTGCGCTTCCTTAGCATTTGGGGGCAGGCACGGCCGTCGTCGCGGGCGCCGAACTTTTCTGTGTGCGCGAACCAAGCTGAAGTTCCTCTGGTAGGTGTATTTGAACATGGGCCACCCGAATATGCAACAATATCTGGGTCCTTGGATGCTTTTCCCTACGCCTATAGGGATCCGTGCGCTTCCTTAGCATTTGGGGGCAGGCACGGCCGTCGTCGCGGGCGCCGAACTTTTCTGTGTGCGCGAACCAAGCTGAAGTTCCTCTGGTAGGTGTATTTGAACATGGGCCACCCGAATATGCAACAATATCTGGGTCCTTGGATGCTTTTCCCTACGCCTCTAGGGATCCGTGCGCTTCCTTAGCATTTGGGGGCAGGCACGGCCGTCGTCGCGGGCGCCGAACTTTTCTGTGCGCGCGAACCAAGCTGAAGTTGCTCTGGTAGGTGTATTTGAACATGGGGCACCCGAATATGCATCAATATTGGGGTCCTTGGATGCTTTTCCCTACGCCTCTAGGGATCCGTGCGCTTCCTTAGCATTTGGGGGCAGGCACGGCCGTCGTCGCGGGCGCCGAACTTTTCTGTGCGCGCGAACCAAGCTGAAGTTGCTCTGGTAGGTGTATTTGAACATGGGCCACCCGAATATGCATCAATATTGGGGTCCTTGGATGCTTTTCCCTACGCCTCTAGGGATCCGTGCGCTTCCTTAGCATTTGGGGGCAGGCACGGCCGTCGTCGCGGGCGCCGAACTTTTCTGTGCGCGCGAACCAAGCTGAAGTTGCTCTGGTAGGTGTATTTGAACATGGGCCACCCGAACATGCAACAAAATTCGGGTCGTTGGATGCTTTTCCCTACGCCTATAGGGATTCGTGCGCTTCCTTAGCATTTGGGGGCAGGCACGGCCGTCGTCGCGGGCGCCGAACTTTTCTGTGCGCGCGAACCAAGCTGAAGTTGCTCTGGTAGGTGTATTTGAACATGGGCCACCCGAATATGCAACAAAATTCGGGTCGTTGGATGCTTTTCCCTACGCCTCTAGGTATCCGTGCGCTTCCTTAGCATTTGGGGGCAGGCACGGCCGTCGTCGCGGGCGCCGAACTTTTCTGTGCGCGCGAATCAAGCTGAAGTTGCTTTGGTAGGTGTATTTGAACATGGGCCATCTGAATATGCAACAATATTAGGGTCGTTGTGTTATAGTCACAATAGGCTTGAATGTGCCTAAAACGAAAGATAGAGAGCACAGACGGATTTCTGCACAGCGGCTTCAAACGTTGATAGCGTTCTGCTCACAGCTGCAAATGACTTGATTCAAATTGGATCTGGAGCGTCTTCACGTCGTCTACATTAATCAATTTAGATTGCACGATTTGATAAAGAATTGACGACAAAGCGTCGGTTTGAACGAACGGTACTATGGCAGCCACTATAGTCTTAGAACACAAGATAGGAAGAGTTACGAGTTGGGAATGACTCCCAGCTCCTACAAACCCCAAGAGCCGAGGTACAGTGATGTGGAACAGTGCCACACTGTCCCCAACCACGAAGGGTCTCGAAACTACCCTTCACTAGGGCCTACACCAAGTGAAATGTTACACTACACAAAGTAATGTAACTATCTTCAATATCTTGAGGTGTACCCTTTTGGCAAGCTTCGAAATCACTTGAGGCTTGACACCAAGGCTCGGGCTCTTCATCACAAACTCATCCTTGAGTTCTTGATGGGTCTGCTGCACACACCTGCGACACGCCGAACGTTCGACACAGGACAAAATAGAAACCGCGCACGACAAAATAGAAACCGCGCGCGAGACACAAACGACCGCGTAACACGCGTCTAGCGATAACTCGCTATTGACTCGACACACACACTCGACATCATGACTCAACATTCACACAAAATTATAAGCATGAAATATATACTATCCCATGCCCTCATACCATTCCATACACACACACATTCACGCACACGGACAACAAGCCGAGTGCAAACCGTAGGGTTGCACCAACAAACTCCCCCTCGGATTGTTGGCCTTAGGATATGTTGCTCTCTCAGTTCAGAGCCATCCCAGCCAGCTTGCAACACTTCCAATGCTGCTGCTCCACCAGCCTCTTGGTCATCATGTCAGCCGGCTGCCCCGTGGTCTTCACGTAGCGCAACTCAACTTCACCCGCGGTTACCATGCTCCTCGTCCAATGCCACTTCACCCTCATGTGCTTCGTGAGTCCATGCAACACAGGGTTCTTAGCAAGAGCAATGGCACCCTGGCTGTCACAGTACAGTGGGGTAGGTCCTTGCTGCTCCTCCCCCAATTCAGCCAACAAACGCCGCTGCCACACAATCTCCCGTACGGCACGGAAGAGTGCCATGTACTCGGACTCCACCGAGCTCAAAGCTTGGTCAACCTGCTTCTTGCTCTCCCAAGCAGTTGGGCCTCCACCAACACAGCATATGAAGCCTCCCACACTTGTCATGTCCTCTGGTTCTGATGCATATGAAGCATCCGAGTAGGCGGTGAGGAACAAACGCCCGGGTTCAACACCATCCGCGCCCTTTTGGCGCCTTTGTGCCGCCGCCGAGTATTGCAGCCCAACGGTCGGTGTTTGGCCAAGATACTTGGCCACCCTCATTCCAGCTGCTACCTGCTCCTCATTAGGGCATTGCACAACCCTAGCCAGCTGCCCGGTAGCAAACGCGACGTCCGGTCTGGTGTTTACCGCCGCATACATGAGGCTGCCCACCAACGAGTGAAATCGGCGCCTCTCCTCTTCACCAACGCTCTCCTCCTCTGGTCCCTTCACACACTTGAACCCAGAGGGAAAGGGTGTAGCCACATGGCCTTCACTCTGCCCAAAGTTGGCAGCCAATGCCTCCAGGTACTTTCGTTGATGCACCCGCATGCACCGCTTCTCCACATCTCGTTCAATGTGGAGCCCAAGGTAGAAGCTCACGTCACCAAGGGCCTTGCACTTGAACTTGTCTTGAAGCTTCAGCATCACCTCCTTCACAAGGTCAGAAGAGGGTGAGAAAATGAGGATGTCATCCACATAAACCACCATGAAACTCCTCTGCTCCCCCTCGCCAAGCATGAACAAGGAGTGATCGGCCGTTGAGGGAGTGAAGCCGATCCCCTCCAACACTTCGCGCAGCTTCATGTACCATTGCCTAGGGGCCTGCTTCAGCCCATAGAGGGCCTTCTTCAGCTTCCACACTCTGCCACTACCATCATCAAACCCCTCTGGCTGCGCCATAAAAATCTCCTCCTCAAGGATGCCGTTAAGGAATGCCGTTACGATGTCCATTTGCTTTACTACCCATCCTTTGATG